TTCTGAAATTCAGGTGGGATAGACTCAAAGTCATATTTTGGTTGCCTTGAATTTGGTTTAATTTTCCTCAGCTTCAGCTGTCGAGGTTGAAAAGAGTTTTAGTGGTTATTTCGTGCAAAATTTCTTGTTGTCTAAAACTAATTTCATCCCAAGTCTGCTATTTTTTGTCTTGTGTTTGAATTCTTCTTGTCACTAGGGAAGAGGCATGAACTGATGTTTGTTGACCATTGATTAAGTACTGTGAACCTTTTTTTAATCTATCTAGTCCATGTTTATGAAAAACAAAAACTTTTTCTGTATCTGATAGATGTGCCAAATTCATACTACTTTTCATTTTCATAACTTTATTTACTCTATAATTGGTATACATTAAATACTAATCAAGTTATAATGTTTGTATACATAAAAGCAAAATGAACAAAATCACCCTTAGTTCCTCTAGTCAAACATGAACATTTAAGGGTTGATTAGTGTTTTGCAAACTTCAGATAATCAGGATTCTGCTGCCTTCATGTTTTTTGTATACTATGTGACCATCATGTTGCTTAATATCTTTCTTTAAATCAACATACTTTCAAATTTATATACCATCTATAAGTTTGCATTGCTTTCCTTATTATGATATGCGTTGTTACATCTTTTCCTCATACGTGTAAGTATAAACCAGTTGCTGTGGAATCAGTTCTCACTCATGGTAACTCCGAATGTTTCAAAGTGGGTTTTCAATGAACTGTAATTTTCAGAAGTGGATCACCAGACCTTTCTCCCTATGTACCCTGGGGTTAAGTCAAATACCTAACCTTTCTGTTAGCTACTCAACACTTTGTTGCCAGAGATTCTATGAAGAAGAATGAACTCTAAAAAAAGAAAGAAAAAGACAACCCTTTACCATCAGAAATATGATACTGTGGGAAACACTACCATACAGTATTTCAAGTGTGTTCTGTATGTCTTTTCTGATTATCTAGTCTAGCATTATGGAACAAACCACACCAATTTTTATTTTAAAAAAAAACAAAACAACCCACATTTTACTCATTACTTTGCAGTTTATTCAGGGCACAATGTTGTTGTTGTTGTTGTTTTTAATTTTTTT